GAAAATATTGTTTATTGAGTTATGTAGCTCTTCAAATGTTGACACATTTCACTATATATACAATATTAAAATAACTTATTTTTAATATTGTCACAAAAGTCTTTAGCTTTGGGAGCATGGAAAGCTCATGGTGAGAGACACAAATTTTCCAAAATTTTACTTTTTGCTCAAAAACTTAAATTTTTTTCTTTGGCACAAATAGTCTCAAGTATTTTATTTGAAGTGACAAATTTGGTTCATTCTTTTTCAACAAAATTCTTGCCACATACCCAAGTCTCAATAACCATTTGATGCTTGTCCTGTGAAATAAAAATGGTGGCTAGTTCAGTTCACAACTCAAACAATATAGCACACATGCTTTTCCTCAAAAACACCATCATACTTCACTATGACCACAGATGCATTTCGTACGTATTTCTCATTTAATCACATTGAATATTAAAAAGATGTGTACTGAAAGGTTGAGATTTAATAAAATAAACAATTTTCATGCTTCCTGGTAGGTATTTTTAAGGTGCTGGTGTCTTGATTCATGCTTGGCACCATCAGTTTTACCATATATATAGATTTCCACTATTAGTGCAAATGTCAACACAAGTGAAAAAGGCAAATAACCTTCCCCAGGGACTCAGACCACATTTTGAAAACTGGCGTTCTACTTTATGTTGCATTTGTATGAAACTTAACTTACCCCTGAAAGTAATTTGCATGTCTCTCCCCCTTCTTGAACAGAAAATTCTGACTTTCAGTTGACAGTGTGAATAAGGTTATTGTATTGGGTTGTAATATACATCATGGCCTTAGGGGCTGTGCAGATGCTGTTGAATACTAAATTGCACTAGGACACTTCATAGTTATTCAGTTTGCTGTGCAATCTCAATTCTCCTGTCAGGTTTTGGCAACCACCAACCCTGCTGCTTCTAATCATTTTCCTAGAATTCTTAGAAAGTTCTGAGCATTTCTGGGGCAACCAATTTACCAACATTAGCCTTTCTTTATTAGTTTAATTTGATAATTCTTTCCTGAAGGTGCATCTGTGCTTTTCCTTGAGAGCGAAGTACCGTTGTTTAGTGATAGCGTTCCTGACCTTTCCACTTAGAGGCTTGTGTCTTGCTTACTTTTAGGGCAGTCTATTCATTCTGGATGCTTAAGCTGCTGGAAGTCTACTATGCAGGAGAAATTACTGTATTGTATGTGACATATCATTTGAATACCTAAAATCCTCTTAATTTCTAGGTGATCTTTGGACGAAGAGTTGTCAGCTGATTTTGGAAGAGTTTATTCATCTTTTAGCAAGGACTTCCTGGCTTTAGGTCTATATAGTGTAACATGATGCAGTGTGCCCAGCAAAACAGAGGACAAGTGAGACCGAAAACTTAATTTTGAATTTTTACATTGGATAAATTACCTGGCAACTGTAAAATCTACCTTTCTCTAAGTACTTTACTCTGTTGGCAAATAAGAAACATGCGATCAAGTTTGAGGATATTTCTGACTAGAAATAAAAGTGCTCCAGATTCAGCGTCACCTTATTATTGTGAATCTTTATTTACTGGGTTTGTGTCTTTATATGTTACTATAGAAAGTCTGTGTAACATCCATGCTCCGGATTCATAGTTTATGCTAAAGTAATGCTTCTAAGTTGATGTTTTAAAATAGTTTGAGTTCATTTTTCTGGTGAAAGACAAATCTTTTTTGGGAAAATGCATAGTCTAATAAAATATTATTAAAAGTCAAGAAAAGCATTAAAGAAAACATAATTACCAATAATACAATGGATTCAAATAGCTATTATTTAAAAATCTTACTACATTTTCTTCAAGATCTTGACATGGATACCTGATTAATTTTTTTGCTTACAACTAGTTTTTAAAATTATTTTTTCCTTTTACTATTTAAAAATTATTATTATTTTATTGATAATTGATATTTATTTTTTAGAATAATTTTAGACTCACTGAAAACTAGCAAAGAGAGTATGGAGGTTTCCCATATATTCCACACCCTGTTTAACTTGTTATTAACATAGTATTAGTGGGTTGAATAGTGGTCCCCAAATGATATGTCCAAGTATATGTGAATGACCCTTATTTAGAAAAGAGGGTCTTTGTAGATGTAATTAAGTGAAGGATCTTGTGATGAGATTATCCTGGGTGCAAGGTGGGCCTTACATCCAATATGACTGGTATCCTCATCAAAGGAGAATGCCAGTTGAACACACATAGAGACGCACAGGGAAGAAACCCATGTGATGATGGAGGCAGAAATTGGAATGATGCAACTGCAAGCCAAGGAAGGCCAAGGAATGCCAATGATTGCCAGCAACACTAGGAGCCAGGAAGAGGCAAGGAAGAAAGCTTCCCCAAAGTCTTCAGAGGGAGTATGGCCCTCCCTTCACCTTGATTCCAGAATTGTGAGAGAATAAACTTCTGTTGTTTTAAGCTATCCAGTGGTAATTTGTTATGGTAGCCTTGGAAAATTTATACAGCAGCTTACAGTAGTATGGTACATCTCTTAAAATTAATGGATCAATGTGGATATATTATCATTAACTAAGGTCCACACTTCATTCAGGTTTCCTTAGTTTTTATGTAATGTTCTTTTTATATCCCAGGATCCCACCCAGGATGCCCTATTACATTTAATTGTCATGTCTCCTTAGGCTCCTTTAGATTGTAATAGTTTCTCAGACTTTCCTTGTTTTTGATGACTTTAACAGTTTTGAGGAGTACTGGTCAGGTATATTGTAGAATGTCTCCCAATTGGGGTTTACCTGGTGTTTTTCAGATTTGATTGGGTTATGTGATTTTGGGAGGAAGACCACTGAGGTAAAGTGCCATTTTCATTATATGGTATTGATCACCTGCTAGATAGTGTTTACCAGGTTACTTCATTGTAAAGTTTCCCTTCTTTCCCCTTTTCCCTATTGTACTCTTTAGAAGGAAGTCACTATGCACAGCGACACTTAAGAAGTGGGGAGTTATTTATGCTCCACCTTCTTGAGGACAGAATATCTAAAAAATTAATTAGAATTCTTTCATAAAGGTAGTTTATCTATTCTTCCTATTTATTTATTTATTCAGTCATTAATTTATATCAGTATGAATCATGGATATTTATGTTATGCTTTGAGTTAATAATCCATTACTACTCTATTATTGTTATTATTAGTTTTGCTAAAATTGTTTGAGCTTTGGCCATTGGGAGCTCCTTCAGTTGGTTCCTATGTCTCTTTTGACATATCTCATCATTGTGGGATTTTTTTTTTGGAGCACTTTCTTATTTTTTTGGCAGTAGAAGAGATTCCAGGCTCGTTTTGTATATTTCTTGCTCTAGTCCTAGAATCAGCCATTTGTACAAGGAGCCCTGGTTCCCATATCGGAACCAAAATCTGGGCAGGAGTGCATTGTCGCTTCTAAGGCCTGGTCAGCTGACAAAGCAAAGGGATATATATGTGCACATTAACTTATATATATACACATAATGGTAGGTATTTCCATATGTAAACATCTGTGTCTGCTTAAGCTAAACATGAGTCATACTGATGTCTCCAACTCTATTACCCCATGGGTTATTCTAGCTTCCTCCCTTGCTTATCTTTAAACTCCTACCCCAACAGTGACAAATCTTGTTCTCACCAGCTTCTACTGATTTATTTAATTTTTCAATTCCAGTACACATGTATAGACGTACCAGAATTGTTAATCCATATTCCTGTGGGATAAGCTTTTTTTAGCTAAAGTAGAATGGTATATGTACAGTTTCTTTTGCCTTTAGTTTTATATACCCCACTCTTTCCAAAGTTGCTAAGGCTGGCAACCTTTCCCTCTACCCACTCTGCTGAGGTTGAGGTTGTGTCATACATTTTAATGCAGTTAGATATTTTTGTTACGTTCTGCATTCTATCCTGGGTTTCTTACTTACTTTCTAGATGATATTTTAAAATTTGTATTACAGACATGATAGGATACATTCAGGGTGGCGTGGCGTAGACATAAAATTTGCATTACATTAAAATTCACCCTCTGTACTGCAAAGTTCAATGGGTTTTGACAAATACATAATATCACATAGCCAAAATTCCGGTATCATATGGAATAGTTTCACGTTCCTAAAAAAATCTACTAGGCCTGATTAATTTTTATTTAGCAAAGAAATACAGAAACCAGAAAATTAGCAAACACCTGGGAACATGTTTTTAAGAATTCATAAATGCTAACATTTTGTCATACTCATTTCAGGCTTTTTAAAATAAAAGAAATATTAAAAATCATTAAATTAACTCCTCTTGTACTTCTTCCTAATGCCATTTCTCTTCCTCCCTACTCAAGGGCAATTACTGTTACAATTGTGGTCTTTCCAGTCCCTGAGTTTATACTTTACTAGATGTATTCATGACTCTAAATAAATAATATAATTTTGTATGTTGTAGACATATAAGTGAAACAATTTTGTATGCATCTTTCTAAAACTTGCTTATTTTATTCTCAATACTGTGATTCTAAGACCCATCTATAGATCATAATTTTTGTGTTTTAATGGTTCTATGGTATTTAAGTAAATGAGTATGCCACATTTTATTTATTTCTCTATTAGTGGACATTTAGATTGGGATTTGTTTTTTACTATTTCATATGCTCTCTGAATATCCTGTACATATATCTCCATACGTGTATATAAGAATTTGCCTACATATGGCTGGAAGTGAAATTGCTGGAGAATGTGGCCTGTACATTTTCTATTTTACTAGAAATGGCCAATTTGCCTTCAGTGTGGTTCTACTAATTTTCCCACAACCTTGGCATCACTTGGTATTGCTTACTTTACATATTTGCTAATCTGATGAGTGTGAAAAGTTGTCTTTCACAGATTTTCAGAGGCTGTGGAACCAATCACTTTTCAGTAACTAAAAATGATTTTGAGAGGAGCTTGGGTTTTTAACCTAGGGGCGATTTGTTGTTCCCATTTCTAATAACATTTTATGTTATTTATTTTCAAAGATGTATGCTTATCCAGGATGTACGAAGTTGTTTTGGAATACAACTGCTCCTAAATTCTCTCTTCCAGAAACTGTCATGAAGGAAACCGTATATCCAAAATATGAGGTAACATACTGAATGAGTTTTCTCTATTATTGTTATTATCATTTAATAATTAAATTGTATAATTGATTATGAAATTCAATTTTACTGGACAGCTGTTATGAAGATTGTCAGGCAACTATTTCAATAATCAGGATTGATTGGATGGCACTATAAAAATTATTTGTATATATATGTAGATAATTAATGTATATATCATTGTATTATATATATTATACCTATATGCTTATAAAATAATAATTTTATATATTCATATAACTATAATTTCATATATTATATACATTTTAAAATATTATACTTATCCATGTTAAGAAGAATATTCTGTTTTCTTTATGAAAGGATATTTTATTTGACTGAAAATTCAAGGTATAAAATCACTTGGGTTGTTTAGAGGATCTTCATGGTATTTTCATTTGCTTTTAAAAGTGCATTTTTAGTTAATTCAATGTTAAAAAAGTTTAACACTACCTAAATATAACTATTAATCTTTTTTCTCCCCTTAAAGAATGTTTGCTTACTCTCCTTTTATGTCATACTGATTATTTTAAAAATAAGAAAAATTAAGAGAAAAAAATAAAATCATCTATTGTTCTTTTCCCATAGACAATTACTGCCCACTTTTTGGTTGATTTTCTTTGATTTGTAAAAATTCTTCTTCCTCTACTTCCTCCTTCTTTCTTCTTTTCCTTCTTATTTTCTTCCTTCTTATTTTTTCCTCTTACAGCAATTCAGTGATGAGCATCATTGTGCATATATTTTTAGTAGTATGTAGGATTATTTCATTTGCACAGTATTTTAGGCAGCTTGCTAAAACACACATATCAGAAAAGTATAAAACAAAAAAGTTAAGGAAATCACAAGAAAGTATAACAAGAGTAATAGTGTAATAAAGCCAGAGGTAAGATTAATTCAAAGAAATTTAGTTTGTATATGCTGTTGCTTGAAACAGGGTCATGAAGCTCTTAGCTTCCTTGCAACCAAGGCAGGGATAGAATCAGGTTTTTGTGCTTTTTAACTTATGAGTTTTCTTTTGTATAAGACTTTGACTTTATTTCATAAATTTTTATTTATAGTGTCTTTATTTTCTAAATTATTTTTATTGCAATTTTCATTTTCTTTTTGATACGCCACTTATGTGAGAAAACATTTTAATTTTTTTTAATTTGTTGGAATTATTTTGTTTAAATTTTATTCTTACTTCTCATTAACATAAGAAGATGTTTGAGAAGTTCTGTTCTGGTGATTTTAATCTTGAAAATGAGCCATATGGGTGACCTGAGACCAAGATGGATAATGATGACCTGAAAGCTGTAGTGGAAACGAATCCATTTCAATCTATGCTTGAATTAGCAGCAAGGTTTGATGTAACTATTCCAACAATATTGGACCATTTGAAACAAACTGGCAAGGTAAAGAAGCTGGATAGATGGGTTCCGCATGAATTAAGCAAGCATCAGAAGAGAAATTGTCTTGAAGCTTACCTTTCTTTGCTATTACGACATAAAGGCAAACCATTTCTACACCATATGGTTAGATGTGGTGAAAAATGGATTCTTTTTGACAATTGCAAGTGTTCAGCACAATGGTTGGATAAAGATGAAGTGCCAAAACATAGTCCAAAACTGAATATTCATCAAAAACAGCTATGGTGTCTGTTTGGTGGTCCGGTGCTGGTATTATCCACTACAGCTTCTTGACACCTGGTCAATTGATTGCAGCAGATGTCTTCTGCAACCATTTGGATGAAATGATGAGGATACTTGCAATTAAGCAGCTGAGATTGGTCAATAGAGACAGGCCAATCCTCTTGCAAGACTATGCTTGACCACATGTCACGCAAACAACTCTGCTCAAACTAGAGACTGGACTTGGAAACTCTCTGTTATCCGCTGTATTCACCAGACCTTGCACCAACTGAGTACCACTTCTTCCAGCGTTTGGACCACTTCTTGCAAGGAAAAAGATTCAATTCTCAAGAAACTGCAAAACGCCTTTGGCAATTTCATCACCACTTGCTCTCCAGCTTCTTCACTGCTGTCATAAACAAGCTGTCATTACAATGGCAAAACTGTGTCAATGATAGTGTAGGTGCATACTTTAATTGTACTACTTTTTGTTTGAGATATAATAAACTACACTTTTGGTTCAAAATTGGACATTTCATATTTAATAACCTAATACATACATAATTTACTATCTTTACCATTTTTAAGTGTATAGTTTAGTGGCAGATAATAAATACACTTATATTCTTTCCCTTTCTGTTCCCTTCCCAATTAGATTGGTGAATTCCATAAATGCCTATATACAAAGGTTGAAAAGATCACAGATACACAACCTAATGAATTGTCTCAAAGAGCTGGAAAAAGAGGAACAGACCGACCCCAAACCCAGCAGAAGAAGTGAAATCATTAAGATCAAATCAGAACTAAATGAAATTGACAACAGGGAAACCATACGGAAGATTAATAAAACAAAAAGTTGGTTCTTTGAAAAAATAAACAAAATTAACACACCTTTGGCTAGACTAACGAAAAGCAGAAAAGAAAAATCTCTAATAAGCTCCATCAGGAACAATAAAGGAGAAATTACAATGGATGCCATGGAGGTACAAGATATAATTTATGAATACTGCAAAAATCTATGCACACAAACTGGAAAATGTGGAGGAAATTTTTTAGAAACGCACAGCCTCCCTAGGCTCGACCAGGAAGAAATAAAATTCCTGAACAGACCAATAGCAAGTACTGAAATTGAAACAACAATAAAAAACCTTCCTAAAAAGAAAAGTCCTGGACCAGATGGTTTCACACCTGAATTTTACCACACCTACAAAGAAGAACTGGTGCCTATCCTACAGAAATTATTCCACAACATCGAGAAGGATGGAATCCTCTCCAACACATTTTATGAAGGGAACATAACTCTGATACCAAAACCAGGAAAGGATGCAACAACAAAAAAGAAAATTACAGACCAATATCTCTTATGAATATAGATGCAAAAATTCTCAACAAAATCCTGGCCAATCGAATCCAGGTGCTTGTCAAGAAAATAATCCATCACAATCAAGTGGGCTTCATCCCAGGGATGCAAGGATGGTTCAACATACACAAATCTATAAATGTAATTCACCATATAAACAGAAGCAAAAACAAAGACCGATCTTCTCAATAGATGCAGAACAAGCATTTGACAAAATTCAACACCCTTTTATGATAAGAACACTCAACAAAATAGGCATAGATGGGGCTTACCTAAAAATGACACAAGCCATATATGACAAACCCACAGCCAATATCATACTGAATGGGAAAAATTGAAAGCATTCCCACTTAGAACTGGAACAAGACAAGGTTGCCCACTATTCAACATTGACTATTCAACACTATCCACATCTATTCAATATAGTGCTGGAAGTCCTTGCAATCAGACAAGTCAGCGGAATTAAGGGCATCCAAATGGGAGCAGAAGAGATCAAACTCTCACTCTTTGCTGATGACATGATATTATACCTAGAAAACCCCAAGGATTCAAGCAAGAGACTCCTTGAATTGGTAAATGAATTTGGTAAAGTCTCAGGATGCAAAAAATACACAGAAATCAGAGGCAGGCTGGGCATGGTGGCTCACGCCTGTAATCCTAGCACTCTGGGAGGCTGAGGCAGGTGGATTGCTTGAGGTCAGGAGTTTGAAACCAGCCTGAGCAAGAGCAAGACCCTGTCTCTACTATAAAAATAGAAAGAAATTAATTGGCCAACTAATATATAGAGAAAAAATTAGCCAGGCACGGTGGCACATGCCTGTAGTCCCAGCTACTCGGATTGGGGAGGCTGAGGCAGAAGGATTGCTTGAGCCCAGGATTTTGAGGTTGCTGGGACCTAGGCTGACGCCACGGCACTCACTTAGCCTGGGCAACAAAGTGAGACTCTGTCTCAAAAAAGAAGAAGAAGAAAAAAATAAATCAGAGGTATTCATATACGCCAACAACAGTAAAGTGAGAACCAAATCAAAGACTCAATTCCCTTCAAAATAGCAACAAAGAAAATAAAGTACCTAGGAATATATTTAACTAAGGAGGTAAAGGACCTCTACAGGGAGAACTATGAAAGACTGAAGAAGGAAATAGCAGAGGATGTAAACAGGCAGAAGAATATACCATGCTCATGGGTCGGCAGAATCAACATTGTTAAAATGTCTATACTACCCAAAGTGACCTACAGAGTCAATGCAATCCCTATTAAAACACCATCATCATTTTTCACAGATATGGAAATAATAATTTTACACTTTGTATGGAACCAGAGAAGACCCCGTATAGCAAAATCAATCCTAGGCAATAAAAACAAAATAGGAGGTATCAATTTATCAGACTTCAAACTTACTACAAGGCTATAATAATTAAAACAGTTTTAGAGTGGCACAAGAACAGGGACATTGACCAGTGAAATAGAATAGAGAACCCAGATATAAAACCATCCTCATATAGCCAACTAATCTTCGACAAAGCAGACAAAAGCATACACTGGAGAAAAGAATCCTTATTCAATAAATGGTGCTGGGAAAACTGGATAGCCACATGTAGAAGACTGAAACAAGACCCACACCTTTCACCTCTCACAAAAATCAACTCACACTGGGTAACAGACTTGACCCTTAGGTGTGAAACTATTAGAATTCTAGAGGAAAACATTGGAAATACTCTTCTAGGCAAAGAATTTATGAAGAAGACCCCAAAGGCAATCACAGCAGCAACAAAAATAAACAAATGGGACCTGATCAAATTAAAAAGCTTTTGTACAGCCAAAGAAACTGTCAAGAGAGCAGGCAATCCACAGAATGGCAAAAATTTTCACAAGCTACATATCCGATAAAGGGCTGATAACTAGAATTTATTTAGAACTTAGGAAAATCAGCAAGAAAAAAATCAAACAGCCCTATCAAAAAGTGGGCAAAGGACATGAACAGAAGTTTTTCAAAAGAAGATAGAATAATGGCCAGCAA